TGTGTGTGTGTGTGTGTGTGTGTGTGTGTGTGTGTGTGTGTGAGTGTGTGTGTGTGTGTGTGTGTGTGTGTAGGAGCTGATGCTGGAGGATCTGCAGCCTGAGACGCTGTACTCCATCAGTGTGGGGGCCTACACTATTAAAGGTGACGGAGCTCAAAGCGTCGCTCATCTGGTGCAGACACCTGTCACATGTGAGTCGCCCGTCTGTGTGTGTGTTTCTGTATGTTAAAACATTCAGGGACAGACAGATTCTTTTTCAGTTCAGTTTTCAGTGCTGTTTGTGTGACAGATAGCAGTGAAACGTGTGTGACAGTCACCAGTCTTTTGTCGGTAGACTCAACAGAACAAAAGACTCACAGTTCTTTATCCAATCAGAAACACAGTTAGTCATTGTGTGCGTTCCTGACATTGGATTGGCTGACATATCTTTAGAGGGCGGGGCTTTATTCTCTATATTAACCCCGCCTCAGGTGTCTTATTGTTTTGATAACACAGTGTCTATATAATGAAAATATTAATGACACAAATGATGCTGTATGTGATTTAGTGACTAGTTTATTATTTTTTTTTTATTATCTTAAAATGCCCCTATTATGGGTAATGAAAGGGTCATATTTTGGTTTTGGGAGTCCCCAAAAACAGGTCGACATGCACGCAAGGTCAAAAACCACTTTCATTTTTTTATAATATGCATTTATTTTTACATTATTTGCTCTACGACTCCCAAACGATTCACTCAACGATTCATTTTTCCAAACCCCTCCTTTGCGTGATGCTAATCTGCAGTGATTGGTCCGATTAGTCTCATTTTCATTTCATCTCGACTGTAATGCCTGATAAAGCAGTGTTTGTGAGCGCAGTGCTGCTTTGTGTACAGCGTTACCGGGGAAACAGCTATTTTACTGCTCCAAAAGAGACACCTAGTGGCAAAGAATGAATTTGCATTTTTATTCAGACAAATGCGAAAAGACCAACAAATGGGCGGGCAATATGCTAATGTTTCATGTTGACGTCAACATGAAACGGCTTGGGATTCGTTTTAAAAATTACTCTTTTCAGTGATTCAGAGTCGACTCTTTCTTTTGAGAGACA